GACTTGAGGTTCCCAGCTGAGGGTTATTGTTGTTGTCGGCTGCCATTGAGTCAGCCCTCAACTCGTGGTGATCTCATGCACAATGAAACAAAATGCTGCCCAGTCTTGGACTATCCCCATAATGGGTTGTTTACAGGTAAGACTGTTGTAATCCATAGGGTTTTCGCTTGTTGATTTTTGAAAGTACATCACCAGGCCTTTCTTCCTAGTCCATCTTAGACTGGAAGTTTCACTAAAATCCATTGAGCATCACAGCAACATGCAAGCCTCCACTGACAGATGGTTGGTGGCTGTACATGAGGTGCATTGGCTGGGAATTGAACCTGGGTCTTCCACATGGAAGGCGAGAATTCTACCACTGAACCACCAGTGCCCCCTAACACACAGTAAGTGCTTCATAAGTGTTAGTGATTATTCTATTTGTCACTGTACCCGGTACAGCCTCCTCTCCCAGCCCTTACTTGCTTTTCTTTGTCACCTTGAGGGTGGAGACTTGGCACAAAGAAAGCATTTAATCAATGCTAGTGAAATGAAGGATGAATAAATGGGAAAGTGGATCTGGTGGGAACTGACAAAGCACCACGGCCAGGTGTCCTTGGCTTGGATGACTGAATGCCAATCAAACTGCACCTTGCTTACTGGGACGGGGGACCAGATCTCGTCATGAAATGTCAAAGTCAACAGAGCAGCTGCTTTCCAACACACATGGAAAAGAAGAACACAGTCCTGAATTCAAGGTCCCTCCTGCCATTCTAAGGAGCCCTTGTGGAGCAACAGTTAAGTGCTCGGCTGCTAACCCAAAGGCTGGCAGTTTGAACCCACCCAACTACGCTATGGGAGAAAGACCTGGTGGTTCACTCTCATGAAAATCAGAACCAAGACGATCCTATGGGACATTTCTACTTTGTCACATGGGGTCGCCGTGAGTCAGAATCAACTCAGTGGCACCTAACAACAATATAACAACAACGTGCCATTCTCAGCCTCTGGCCCCATCACCAGACTGTATCAGTGGGGGAGGGGGATGCATCATCCTACATCATGAAACAGCCCCTCTCCAGTAGACTGCAGACACGTGTGGTGAAACACACCACCCAGTTTCTGGAAATGCTTGTTGTTGTTGTCAGTTGCTGTCAAGTGGATTGTGACTCATTCTGACCCCATGTGTGCGGAGTAGAACTGCAACATACGGTTTTCAAGGCTGTGACTTCTCAGAAGTAGATCGCCGGGCCTGTCTTCCTAGGTGCCTCTGGGTGGGTTCAAATCACCAACCTTTTGGCTATTAGTAAAGTGCTTAACCGTTTTTGCCACCCAACCGTGCTCTTTAGGCTTGCTCCCAGCCCAAGGCTCCATAACTACTGCAGCGACTCAATCAGCAAGCCCTGGCCTCCCAGAGGTCACTGAGACGGCTCCTAGAGATAGCAAGACCGCATCTCATCAGAGCGTGATCCCTACTTAGTGACTCCACCCGCACCTCCACTGGGAAGGGCCGGTCAGTCATCATCATAGTCAGACACATTTGCGCCTCTCACACAGAGCACCTCCAACCTTGTTATGATAAGAGGTAGCAGGAAGGAATGCAGGCAATTTGACAAACCAAGTCAAACGACAACAGCTGTTCTTATTGTCACTTCAAACATATCAGGTCACAGAGCTCCCTCCAAAGTGCTAGCAGGCAAGCACCCGAGTTCAGCTGCATCCTCTGCATTCGATGATAACATCCAAAGCCGGCTGCCTGCTGTGTTTCACCTGGTCCTCCCTCCAATGATGAGAGCTGCCTTGGGTCAGCTCTGCATATCCTCCGATGACTCAGAATTTCAGGGGAAATAATGAACTCATTTTGACACAGCTAGATGACTGTAATTGCTTACTTTCTGAATTAATATTTCACAACATATCTGTCTGACTTCCTTTTCTGATACTGGGAGTGGTTATTGAAGCTTCTCATGAACTCTATTTGAACAATGCTGAGATGATGACCTTCTGAGGCTCAAGGCAAAGGCTGGCTCCTCAGATAAAGGGGGAGTTTCAGGTTAAGGCAATTTTATTAATGAATGTATTTTGTGGTTGCTCAACTGTCATGCAAATACTGGATGACAAGACTCCTGGGGGACTCTGAAATCCCAGTTCTAAACTGAAGGACTATCTTTGTTGGTTATTCTTAGTGAGCACTTATCAGGCCAGGTCAGAGCATGGGAGCCCTCGTGCACCGGCTTTGGGCACTGAGTTTGTGACTCTGCTCAACTATGACCTGTCAAGTGGCCCATGGCTGTCTTAAGGAGCTACTGCCGGGAAGTGTGACTTTTATCCTGAGCCCATAACCTGCGCTCCAAGGAGACTTCTGTGGACTCTCCCGAGCCTTGTATGTTCTTCCGTTTCAGCACACCTCACTGGAATTGTGGCTGACTGAGCCCCTCTTGACATCCCTGGGTGGCGCAAACAGTTTGTGCTTGGCTACTAACCTAAAGGTTGGCAGTTTGAACCCAACCAGCGATGCAGCAGAAGAGGGGCCTGGAAATCTGCTTCCATAAAGATTGTTGTTGTAGGTGGTGTCAAGTCAATTCTGACTCATAGGGACCCCATGTGACAGAGTAGAACTGCCCTATAGGGCTTCCTAGGCTATAATCTTTATGGGAGCAAATCCCTAGGTCTTTTCTCCTGTGGAGCAGCTGGTGGGTTTGAACCACCGACCTATCAGTTGGTAGCCCAGCACTTAACCATTTGCCACCAGGGCTCACATTGCCAGGAATATAGACTGGGCTCAATTAGTGTCCTGAACCAATCAATAGATGAATAAGTGAATGAATGAGTGAACAAAGGAAAAAATGGAGGTAAGACAGTAAACCTCATGCTGAACCAGGCTGGGAAATAAAATAGGGTGGAGTAGACCCAGAGTGAAAGAAGAGAACCAAATGCCATCTTGCTCAAAGTGACATATAGAGCATGATAGGCATGTAGTAGATGTGCAATAAATCATGACAACAAACACCAGGCACTTTCTTTCTGCAGGCACTGTGCTATGCACCTTACATGGATTGCCTCATTTAATCTGTGCACTAAACCCTACAAGGAGCCAATATTATTTCTGGCAATGTGAATGAAGGAGCCAGTGATTTATGCTGCCACCCTAGAATATGGCAAGCTGGAACAACGTGACATCGGATGGAAACGTCCTTTTTGCCTTCTTCCTCTGGTTTGCTTTTGTCCATTCCTTAACACTCAATTCAAGCACCATCTCCTCCATGAAGCCTTCTGTCTTAGTTATCTAGTGCTGCTATGATAGAAATACCACAAGTGGGTGGCTTTAACAAACAGAAATTTATTCTCTCACAGTCTAGGAGGCTAGAAGTCTGAATTCAGGGTGCCAACTCCTGGGAATGTTTTCTTTCTCTGTCTGCTCTGGGGGAAGGTCCTTGTCATCAATCTTCCCCTGTTCTAGGAGCTTCTCAGCACAGGGATCCTGGGTCCAAAGGACTTGCTCCTGGTGTTTCTTTCTTGGTAGTATGAGGTCCCTTTCCTCTCTGCTCCCTTCTCTCTTTTTTATCTCAAAAGAGATCGACTCAAGATACAATCTAATCCTGTAGATTGAGGCTTGCCTCATTAACATAACTGCCTCTAATTCTACCTCTATTGACATCATAGAGGTTAGGATTTACAACACATAGGAAAATCACATCAGATCACAAAATGGTGGACAACAATACAATACTGCAAATCATGGCCTAGCCAAGTTGACACCCTTTTTTGGGGACATAATTCAAACCATAACACCTTCTGTGACTGATTCCTATGAGGTGTCTCTGTGTTGTCCTCCCATGATTCCTTCTGAAAACCTCTATCATGGTATTTATTATTCTGTATATAATGAGCTCTTTGTGGGTCTACCCCTCATGGGAGGGGGTTTCTTGATATCATCTCCCATGACTGTTGTCTTTGAATCCCCAGTGTTCAGTCCAATGCTTTGCACATTGCAATGGCTCAAGATTCACTGTTGAATGATTGAATGACATGGAGGAATCTGCCTGAATCATTCTTAATCCACCAAGAGCAAGTCTGGCCAAAGCAGTTCAGCATTTCAACATGTGCAAAATGGCTGCGCATAGAGGACTGTGAATATAAAACAAAAGCCACAATCCTCGCCTACACTAAAGGATAAAGAAGCGATAGGATAAACTTTAAGATGGGGAAGGGAGGCCCTGGGGAAGCGAGGTACCATACACTGCAGGAACTCAGCGTCTCAGAAGCAAAGGAATGTGGAATGTGGCCACCACCTTCTTGTAAATTCTGGAGCACAATGCTTGCTTTATGAATAAAACCATATCCTCCACTTGTAACTCAACTACTGCAAATCCATTCTAAAAACCTGTGGGATATACAATACCCCTTTCAGACCAAATATGGAGTCTACAAGTATTATATAGGTAGGCAATTTTGCCTAAAACCCTTACTTTTTAAAAATAAAATTTGACTATATCCAAACCGGAAAATTCCATTACCTGCTAACAGAGAGTCCTTAAGGAGTCTTAGAAGTGTTACAGCTCAGGGGTGGAATTCCTTTAGGAGGGTCTATAGTCATGGCCTGTCTCTTGAGGACACATCGGTTCTCCTCAGGGGTCACGAGTCTCTGGGTGGAGACCCAGAGGCAGTGAACTCAACAACAACACATTACAAACGCACTGAAACCAGAAAGGAAGTGGTGCCAAAGTATTTTACGAGACAGGGCCATTTCTAGCCTTTGAATACTTAATTCTGAGAGTCATACAAATGTAGAGAGGACGCTCAGCCTGACAAAGTCTAGGTTTGAAGTTTTGCTAATTAAATGCCATCTTCTTTGAACACGCACATGCACACACATACATACACACGCACACATACCCTAGTACAGTACATACACATTGTGCTATATCACCTCATTTTAACCTCTTGGTTCTGGATGCATAAAAACAGCTCAAATATTTTTCCAACTCACCAGGAAAGATAATCATTCAACTTGGTCTTACCCTGAGGTAGTTGAGGGTGAAATTTGTTAGCCCCATCCTGGTGATGTTTTTGGACAGCTGATCCAGGACCTGAGGATCTTGTGCCTAAAGAGAAAACAAAACAAAAAAATCATCTATTTACCCCAATAAGATGGTCTCAAGAAAATCTTAGACAGTGTTGCAGCTGCTAAGAAATGCAATCATATCATTGCCAATTATTCACCAAGGGCAGTTTGCTGGAGATGAATTAATTTACATTTTGAAGACACTTGAATGTAACACTCAAGGAAATGTTCAAATAATTGTGTAAGGCCCATTGTTCAGGAAAACCAAACTCAGTCCTTGGGAGAAATGGTTTCATTTCCTCCCTGAGAGGCTCTAGGTCGTTAAGTCAGACCAGGAGACATTGGGGTCTGATGTTACTCACTGGAGAGGGCAGGAGCATGCTTTAGGGCCGACTTTGGTTTCCTGTTCTGATGTTGTTGTTAGGTGCCGTGGAGTCGGTTCTGACTCATAGCAACTCTGTGTACAACAGAATGAAACACTGCCCAGTCGTGCGCCATTCTCACAATGGTTGCTATGCTTGAGCTCATTGTTGCAGCCATTGTGTCAATCTATCTCTTTGAGGGTCTTCCTCTTTTTCAATGATAGTGATAGTGTTGTTTTTAACAGCTTGGAGTTGAGGACTGTATTTGAAAACTTTGCAAGTGCTATGAAAATATATGCATATACTTTTTGAGAATTCTAACTCTTCTCTCTATTATCTGTGACTAGATAGCGATGTCCTTGGTTGTTTTATCCAGCAGGTCAGTAAGGGTAAGCATCACAATTTCCAAAATATCAGCTACATTTAAGAAAGGAGTAGACAGCTCCATGGACCACCCCAAACGTTCTGTTTGGCAAGCAAAAATGAAAACCCTTTCTGGATTCCACTTTAAAATGAGCCTCTTGGTTGATGCTCCTTCTTTCTGTCTTTTTCAATTGGTATAAGCAGATTAGAGTCCCTGGGTGGGGCAAATGGTTAAGAGTTGGACTACTAACTGAAAGGTTGGTGGTTCAAACCCACCCAGAGGCACCTAGGAAGACAGGACTCTTGATCTGCTTCTGAAAGGTCACAGCCTTGAAAACCCTAGGAAGCAGTTCTACCCTGAACACATGGGGGCGCCAGGAGTCAGAATTGACATGATGGCAACTAACAACAACAACATAAGCAAATTGGTGCTAAACAGAGGGAAACATAAGTAAATATCCCTTTGTCTCCATTTCTGCATTCATGAGACTATTTTAGTGATACTAACACATCTTTAATTTATTCTTTTCTATACTTAGTTTTTCTCAAGGATCCCTGGTGGCATAGTTGTTAAGTGCTCGGCTGTTAACTGGAAGGTCGGCAGTTCAAACCCACCATCTGCTCTATGGGAGAAAGATGTATCAATCTGCTTCTGTAAAGATTTACAGCCTAGGAAACCATATGGGACAGTTCTACTCTGTCCTACAGGGGCTATATGAGTTGGAATCAACTCGACAGCAACGGGTTTGATTTTTTTACATTTAATTTTTCTCACAGTGATACTACCAACTAGTTTTGCGTATGTATACTCATACATAACCAAACAAAAACCAAACCCATTGCTGTTGAGTCAATTCTGACTCATAGAGACTTACACATATACATATACACAGGCAGTAGTAACCAGTTGCTGTTGAGTTGATTCTGACTCATGGCGACCCCATGTGTGTCATTGTAAAACTGTGCTCCATAGGGTTTCAATGGCTGATTTTTCAGTAGATCACCAGGCTTTTCTTCTGAAGTGACACTGGGTGGCCTCAATCCTCCAACCTTTTGGTTAGCAACCAAGCATGTTAACCATTTGTACCACCCAGTACGCACACATTTGCATATACATATACATATACCCATACATAATGTAGGAGAAAACAGTCATATTGTATCAGTTTTCATGTCAATTTCTTGAAAAGACGTCTTTGGTGGTGGATATCAGGCCCATACTTATTGAACTCCTCCATGTTCCAGGAAGAGTTGGTCCTAGAGAGATGGATCAAGTAGACACGGCTGAGCTCAAGGAGATTGCATTTCACTTGGAAGATGGAATAATAATAAATGAATAGAAGGATATTGCTGCTGTTGCTGCTGCTGCTGCCCAATAGCTAATACCTGATGAGGGCCTACTATGTGCCAGGCACTTTTCTAAATGCTTCATGTGCTTTAACTGCTTTCATCCTCAAACCAATTCTCTGAGGCAGGCTCTATTATTGTACCCACTTTATAGATGAGGGGCTGGAGGCACAGAGATGCCACGTCATTTGCCCAAGTTCACATAGGATCCAGGATACAAATCTAGGCAGTCTCATCCTAGTATCCAAGGCCCCAACCACTACCCTCTGCTGCCTCTCAATCGATTAGGAGAGTAATGAGAGTAGATAATACTCCAGACTGCTCCAAGGAGAGTAGAGGATGTGAACTGGGCTTTGAAAACTGAGAAGGACTTGAGTATGGGTGGTCAGAAAGCACAAGGTCAATGAGAAGGGCAAAGACTGGGTTAACTGGTCCAAATGAAAGGGTTGAGGACAAAAGCCTGCAGAGACAGGCTGGAGTTGAGTAGTTGGCTTAACAGCCTCGGTTTTGGAGTCAGAACCAACTGGGTTGGAATCTTGATTCTGCCACTTTGAGGCTGAAAAATATTGGGCAATGTATATGAACCTCTACAACACTCAGTTTCCCACCTCTAAATTAGGAATAATAATAACCCATCTATTTGAGTTACTGTGAAGATTAAATACAATAATGTATACGAAATGTGTAGCACCAGGCCTGGCTTAGCAAGTGCCCAATAATTGCTAGTTTTTGTTATTTCAGAGGGTGGTGGCTACCCATGAGGTGTATTGGACGGTCTCCCATGTGGAAAGCAAGAGTTCTACCACTAAACACCCATGCACTATGTCATTGTTGTAAGTTGCCGTCATGTCGGCTCCAACTCATGGCAACTTTATGTATAACGAAATTAAACTTTGTCCAGTCCTGTGCCTTCTTCATGATCACTGTTACGTTTGAGTCCATTGTTTTGGCTATTTGTGTCAACCCATCTCATTGAGGGTTTCCCTTGTTTTCATTGGCTCTGTACTTTACCAAACATGTCCTTTTCTAGCAAGTGATGATGTGTTCAAAGACAGCTAGTTGAAGTCTTGCCAACCTTGCTTCTAAAGAACATTCTGGTTGTATTTTTTCTAAGACTGATGTGTTTGTTCTTTTGGCAGTCCATGGTATATTCAATATTCTTTGCCAACACCACTGTTGGAACGCATCAATTCTTCTCTATCTTCCTTTTTCGCTATCCAACTTCTGCATGCATATAAGACGATTGAAAAGATCATGGTGTAGGTCAGATCCACTTAGTAAATCGATACCTTTAGACTCCTTCTTCAGGGATTGCACCTCACTAGTTCCTATCAGGTCTTACCTTTAAAGCATATCTCCAGATTGACATCAGATCAGACCTTGTACTTAGCTGGTGTTCAACGAATTTGATGTGATAAATGTCTAAATGAAACCAAGAGAACCCAAAATATTCCACTCAAATTCCAGCCCCAAGGTCAGATCTAAGGTACATAATCCCAATTTTGGTCATGTGGTTCTAATCAAAACTGGAAACTGTTTTTTTTACTTGTTTTACTTCCTTCCCCAGTTATACATAACAGGTTTATTAGCCCAGGCAGAGCAGTACTTGATAATGACTGAATGGAATTTAAGGAAAGTACAAACTGTTTATCGAGGTAACCTCACTTTTGAGTTTAAAATAATAAAGTATCAAAAAACAGTCTTACAATACACCAAACTTGAAAACAAATGAAGGCAAAAAAAGAACCTGTAGATTAAAACGGTTGAGGGTAAAACTCAATAATTTAGAGCTAATTACCTAAAGCGTGAAAACTACTGCAGGTCTTTTACCGAGAGAGAACTGGGGTTTTGCCCTTGAGTAAAACAAAAAAAAAGAACAGTAAAATAGAAATTAAATTACTTACATGCATGGCTAGAATGCTTCTTGGGACTAATTCTCTGTATTGTCTAATGGTAAAGTGCCATGTTTTTATTCTCATAAGATCATCAAAGGTGAACTCCAAGATCAGTCTGCCTTCTGTACATACCTGGAAGTGACAAACAACATACTCATTTGTGATTCACATTGTGAACGCCACATTTTGCTATACCTAGGGGTTCATGTACACATCAGCTGTACCTAGGGGTTCAAGAGAGGCATCTCAGGGGCTTTGCTGGGAGGAAGCTGGGCCTCTACCTGGACTCTGAGCTCGTAAGTATTTCCTAAATTCAACCAGAGCATATTCGATTTTAAGGAGTCCTGTTGGTGCAGTGGTTAAGTGCTTGGCTGCTAACCCAAAGGTCAGTGGTTCAAACTCATCAGCTGCTCCACGAGAGAAAGATGTGGCAATCTGCTTCCATAAAGATTACAGTCTTGGAAACCCTGTGGGGCTGTTCTACTCTGTCCTATAGGGTTGCCATGAGTTGGAATCAACTTGACGACAATGGGTTTGGTTTGGTTTCTTGGATCTTCAATTTTACGTTTTAACATATTGGGCTCTGGTTAGGCTTTTTTATAGAAAGATTACCTAGTCTAAAATTAAGCACACAAAACTCTGAAAATCACTGTATTGCAAATTTAAAAAAAAAAAAATACATAATGGCAATTAACTAAATAGGGGATAGGCTCATTTCTAAAGCTATAGTCCATCAAGATGATTAACAATTTAAATCAAACTTTTATAAAATCTTTATAACTTTTTTTTTTGTAAATTTAACACAAATGCCCCCATTTTTTGAGTTCCAGCTATGTTTTAGACAGTGGTTACGTGCTTTCTATGTACTCAATCTATTTTAAGATAATATTTTCTTTAAACAAACCAAAACCAGGACAGGAGAATTACTAGCAAGTGTGATAAGGTGCTATTCAAGAAAGACGCTGCTAACATTCACCATCTTTGTTTTATCAAAGGTCTCAAAAGCACCCGTAAGATAATTATTGATAATCTGGGTGAAGACCTCTACCTCCGATCCAATTAACAGAATCTGTGGGTACTTTCAGGTGTTTGGGCACCTCGCCACAATACTCTTGATCAAGTGGTCTTCAGAGTCTTGTTTTTGGCGTCTTGGCCATAAGAGCTGAGCACATGGAATGGGGGAAGGCTACATACAGTGTCACTGAATCACTCCCTCCAGCACACCCTCAGCTTTGGAATTAATTTACCAAGGTTTTCAAAAGGGTTGCATGGAGATTAAGCCACAAATCTCCCCCTGAGGTGCTGGTGTGACAGAAGCCACCTGTGGTGAAGGCTTTCACGTAAGGGAGGCAACTACAGCCAACCACTGACAGTGAAATGTCCTGACACTACAGGACAGGGACATTTGGATGCTATAATCCTCTTTTTAAAGAGAGGGGATTATTTGGATATTTAAGCAAATATTAGCCCAGTTAAGTGTCATGTTTCTTTATTATCTATTTGTTTTGTGTTTATGAACCAGAAACCCAGGGCAGGCGGAATCTCTGGTTTACTTCTACTGGAGCAGAATTTCATAATGGGAAGGCATGTATGCAGTCATTCTGATGAATTACTTCATTGGAGCACCTGTAAGTTCAAGTTAAATTGTGTTCTTTGTTCAGTGTGACATTGCAAACCAGTTGGGGACACTCCTTGTAGTCAGACTGTCACAGGTATACAAAATATAGATGGTTGCAACAAATATCGGAATCCTCCTTCCTCAGTTGTAACCAAGGACTCAGCTTTATCCAGGGCATATCATGTGCAAGATAGCATTTCTTGGAACTGAATCTGAGTTGACTGTGTTGGTTGCTTCCTTTAAGGAAAATAGAATGACTTCCTTGAATGAACGGACTGAAGAGGATTTTGGTCATGGCTGGTCTTCTCCAAGCAATTACTCCCATAGCCTGCTCCCAAGCCCTAGGCAGCTTCTCTGCCCCCTTCTGCCTCCCCCCCCACGAAAGTTAAAGGAAACCAAAGGCTTTGCAATTTATTTTATACGTAACAATCGCAAATGGAACAGAAGCGCATGACAAAAAATACATATATTCCTTGTTCTGAAATAGGAAAAAAAAATGGGCATAGCCTAAAATATTTTCTCTTTTCAGAAAAATTCTGTGCATTCCTCTTAATCAATACAATTAATGCAGCTTTTATCTAAAGTTGGTCTTTTCTTTTTAAAGCCGCCTTTCACTTGGAATCCAAAATCAAAAGGGTCCCCAATTAAGAAAACATTTTCTGTTGTGCTGAATTCATGTTACCGTGCTGTGAGCTCTGACATTTTGTTTCTGTGGTAACCAAAATCAGCTGATTAGTTGGCATGGCAACAGAAAAGATGTAATCCCAGCTGACACACTCTAATCAATGCCCCCAGCACAGATGGTCTCTGGAGGATCAACAAGAAAGAGGCTGGCAGGCATTCAATGGATCACGTGCTAGCTTGAGACTAGGCCAGGAACAAGAGAACTAAAAAAGAACATTTCTCAAACTAACTGGTCGCTTATTAACCCTTTTCTTTCTTTGACTAATTGTAAAGCAATATTGACCGTGCAGTTGTAATACATCGACTCTCATATGGCCTTTATGAAATAAAACATGTTTTTTTAAGTGGAGGATGTTTATTTAATTTCCTTGGTCTTTATGTTTGGAGCAGCATATATGGCATAGTGCTTTTAGATGAACATTTGCATAAAGCTCATTGCATTTTACTTAGAGCTAGAGCACATGTAAATGTGTGTAATATATATATATATATATATATATACATATATAAAAGAGCAGTGTGATCCTTAATATTACTTGGCTTCAGCTGAGATAAGAGTATAAATCCCGTGAGTATAATGTGGTATACATGCTAAGGTAAGAATGATGAAGTAACTGTCAAAGACAGAAGTGAGTATTCATATAGGAAACCTGGTTGGTGTACTTCCATGATATTTTTCTACAGTAGTAAATGATTCCATAATAAATAACTGAGCACAGAAAAAAGATAAACCTACGTTTACAGCGGTGAGAAGAGAGTCCAGGAACGGCTACAACTATTTTTCCAGTTTGTAAAACCAAAAAGGAACTCCAATAATGTACCCCAGAGAGTGCTTTTCAGTATTTGCCAGTGCTTGCACCCCCAAATATAACTCGGGGGACTTTGATTCTGAAAACCTTGACACGAGCTCTTCTGATTACCAGACTTGTTTTCTATTTGACTCAAAATTGAAAACCCTGGAGAGGCTTTCTAATGTGTGTTTTAAAACCCTAATTACATATTTATCCGTAATCTATACTGTTCTTGGGATCAGGAAATTGCAAAATGTGCACTATACTCCCGAGGAATACTAAATATTACTGTTGATTAGGACTGGGACTGATTTTTGATTCACCAGTTGACCAGTTTTTCATAAAAGCAACTCATAACCTCTGGGTCAAGTGCTATTTATGGAATTAGAGTTTATTGATAGTCTAAATTAGAACAATGGGATGCTGCCTACAAATAACGTGCTAAGTAATGCCATGTGCTAATAGCAGGTCCCCTTTTAAAAATGAAACATCGGCTTCCCAGCTATTTTTCTTTGTGATACTTATAGGTCATTAGTCTACTGTTTTATACTAAATCGTCATAGTAGTTTCTTATACAAAGATGAGTTTATTTTTAATTAATATAAGAACAAAAGAAGAATTTGAAAGTTTCTTTGGGTAGTACAACCACTAAGGAGAAAAAAGGAAAGAAAAAAAAAACGAATCCTTTCAAATTTCCTAAAAATAAATGTACATAATTAGCTTCTGGAGTAACTCCACGTAACTAAGCTCCATTTCCCAGAAAGTGATATTTTTCATCACAGTATGGAAATTATCATTACAGGAGTCAGCAGATATATTTTCATGGAGTAGAGTAAGATGAGTGGTCCAACAATTGATACTTGGGGCAAAGGATGTTGTGTTCAAGATGGTACTCGGAGCTTCCTGGTGACTGCCCTGCATGCCTGAACAAAACACCTATCTCAGAGAGGTGAGCTTCTGGGATAAGAAAGAATACAAAAAAACCCAGAAACCCCAACCTGTGGCCATAGAGTTGATTCCAACTTATGGCGACCTTGTGTGTTAGAGAGTAGAACTGTGCTCCATAGGGTTTTCTTGGTTGTAATCTTTATGAAAGCAGGTCACCAGGCCTTTCTTCTGAGGTGCCACTGGGTGGGTATGAACCGCCAACTTCTCAGTTAGTAGCTGAGCTCAAACCATTTGCCCCACCCAGGGACCCCTTCGGAAGAATACAACAGAGGAAAATCTTAGCATCTTGATTTGGATGAAGAAGCATTTTCTCCATTCATCAGAAGAATGGGATTCTTGTTGATCTAAAACAAGTCTCAAATGGGCAGCACTGTATTTCCAGAGCAACTAACTATGCTGAGTTACCCTCATTTATGAAAAAAAAAAAAAATTCAGCCTGAGAAAGAAACTGAGTAAATATATAAATGACTACTCTAAAAGCATTTTTATTGTAGAAGTAGCTCCTTAATTATAACAAAGCTTTATTTAATCATAATGGATATTTTCCCTACAAAGAATAAAGAATTGGTATGTTTTCCTTGGATTACCTAAAAGTAACATTAAGCCCAGAGAAAAATAAAAATGAAGCTGTAGGGAATGGTTATGTCTGCAATGCTTAGGCTTAGTAACACTAGTAATGGTTGTGTATCCATCTTAGCTACTAGTTTATGGAAATGTTCTGATTCTCCAAAATGACATAAGACAAATTAAAGTCATCCAGGTGATCATTCCTTTCCATATGGCAAAACTCTCTTCACCCCATGGACTTCCCTCTGCATTCCACGAGAAGTTCCTTTGTCCATGACCAACAACAAGAAAACAGGCCAACTGTTAAAATAGGAAGAAAGAGAAAAATACAATGTCTGCCTCCTACTTAAAATGTCTATTGATAAAATCAATATATCACAATATCAATGGCATTTGGTGATTTGTGTTTGCATTTTATAACTATTTATTTTGCCTTTGGTTTCTTACACCAGCATAGGACAACAGAAAGATTAAGCAGCACCAACAAGATCAATGAATACTTTTAAAAAAGAAGCATTCAATTTTTATTCTTGTGGCAAAACTGTAAATAAGTAACAAACACATCTTCAGTTTTATAATTTGGGCTTTTGCAATTAACCCTGATGATTCAACTTCTCTGAGCTACTAAGTAAGGGTCGTCATTTATGTTTTGAACTAGAAGAGATAGTTGCTATTATTAATGTTCCAAATTAGTTTCATATTGAGTCTTCGTCAAAATGCAATGAACTCGTGCTCATTAAAATAAACTTACATTTGCCAGAATCTAGTGCTGAATATTTGTTCTGAGTAATTTTTCTACACTGTCTGTAGTGTTTGGATCATAGGTGTAGAATATATAGAAGATGGAGTTGAATCTCTAGTTCTTCCCTTTTTCATTTGCATCCTTCACAGAGCCTTGAATTCTGCCTCAAAAGTCATTATTACCTGATGTCTGACACCTATCCTCTCCCCTGTTTTTCTTTCTTACTCTTTGATAATCAATTTATGCTCCTGCTGTGCTCACTTGGTATAGTGGTTGCTAACCAAAGAGTCAGCAGTTCAAATCCACCAGCTGCTCCTTGGAAACTCTATGGGGCAGTTCTGCTCTGTCCTATAGGGTGGCTATGGGTCGGAATCGACTCTATGGCAATGAGTTTGATTTTTTGTTTTTTTTGGTACTCACTTGCTGAGCTGCTTATCTGATACTCTGGTAAATCACAGAACTTCTTAGAATTTGGGGGACACACCATTTAAACTCTGAATTCCCTAACTTTATTTATATTTTTAGTTCTCAAGTTCCTTAAACATTATGGCTAGTTGGGTGCGTTTAATTGATTTTTTCTTTGGATGTGAAAATTTGAATTTAGATTCACTTATTTATTTTTTAAATTTTACTAATGAAACACAAGTACTGACCGAACAACAATAGGAGGATATCCTTTTAGTTGTAGAAGACCTTTTGAATAAAAACAAAAATTTTAGCTTAGCAACTGAAGTCTAATAGACAGATGGACCCTTCTTTTGAGGTTCTATCATGTTTTGACATTCCTGTGCTCCATGTCACATACACACATCTTGGAAGCGTCCACCAAAAAAGTCTAGCCGTGTCACAAACAAAAAAGATTATCTCACAGTGCTGAACGTGTCTGACGTATGAGAAATCAGCTCAACGTTCCAGAAGAAAACCGGAAGTATTATCCTTCAATACACCCAGAGAAGGAAAAGCTAGGTGTGTTAGTGAGCCTGTCCTGTACCTTGGTAAACATGGGCTTCCCGTGCTGGGTGACCATGGCACACTGGTCGCAGTCCACCGTGATGGACGAGTTGTGGTATGACTCTTTCGAGTGTTTGAGAATGTAATAGAGGTCAGTCACCCCTCCTTCAAACACAGTGCTAAAGTAACGGGGGATGAGGGTCCTGCCGATAGCTAGGAGAGAAACACAGAGAAACAAACCATTAACACAAATATTAGACTCCTCCCACTCACCCCGCATCATCTCCAAACCTCCTACAATGGCATGCAAATCATCTCAAGAAGCCATTTATTGTTTGCCTTAGAGTCAGCTTCTGCACAGGGTGAGTTTATACACAACAGAATGAAACACTGCCCAGTCCTGTGCCATCCTCATGAGAGTTGGTATGTTTTCGTGCAGCTATTGTGTCAATCCATCTTGTGGAGGGTTTCCTTCGTTTTTGTTGACCCTCTACTTTACCAAACATGGTGTCCTTTACTAGGAAACAAATTTCTCTTTACAAACAGCCATGATCCTTGTGGTCATAGTTAGTAAAATAAACACCCTAATTATTCAGGAAAATTTTGTACAGTCATCTTTCCCGATTTTGTGTCCAGTGAAAGTCAATAATATATGGAGGAAAAATGCATTAACTATTTGGATCACGTATATACTCTCTAAATGAACATGTTTTCAAGAAAGAAAACACATTAAACCGACTTGAATTTTTCCAAGGATCAGTTACAAGCCAGTTTACATGACTATGTTTTACTATTATTATTAGTAGTAATAATAATAATTATGGTGTTGGTGAAGAATATTGAATATACCATTGACTGCCAGAAGAACGAACAAATCTGCCTTGGAAGAAGTACAGCCAGAATGGTCCTTGGAAGCAAGGATGGTGAGACTTTGTCTCACATACTTTGGACATGTTATCAGGAGGGACCAGTCCCTAGAGAAGGACATAATGCTTGGTAAGTAGAGGGTCAGCGAAAAAGAGGAAGACCCTCAGTAAGATGGATTGACACAGTGGCTGCAACAACGGGCTCAAGCATAGCACAGATTGTGAGGATGGCGCAGGACCAGACAGTGTTTCATTCTGTTGTACATAGGGCTGCTATTAGTCGGAAACAACTTGACGGCACCTAAAAACAACAACAATAATAATATAAATTTAATAATATAATGCTTTGTAGTGTGTGAAGTATTTTGGCATTCTCTTGTTGGGTCTTCAGAACAATCCCAAGAGAGTAGGGGACTAGTTTGAGTCTCTTTTGGAGACCCTAAAAAGTAATTACGAAAAAAAGAAAGAAAGAAAAGGCTATTAGGGATGTTTCAAAGTCACATGACTTAGAAGTAACTGACGGGAGTCTCTAAGTCTGCAACCACCAAAACCTGCTCTTTCCAATACTATGTCTTAAACTGCTTTAAAGAATGAGTCTCTTTAAAACGTGATCTGAATCTCCACATACAAAATGTAACCATGTAACTGTTGATTTTCCTGTCCACTTCTGGAGCTGGATAAGATAGCTCTCCAGAATATATGGCCTATTTTAAGAGAACTCGATATCTTCCACTTGGTCTAAATTGGTCTTTTTCATACCGTGTGTCCTGCCCTGCCCCATTTTAGTTTGAACAATTGCGTAAGTAGCTGGGTCTTTCCAATATATGAAGCTTAGAAACACGTAACAAGCCCTTGCTTTAGCAGTGATTTTAAATCCTCTTACAATGAAAATCCCAACTCATAATATGAGAAATTTTGCTTATGTGCAGATTTGAAGGCAAAGTCCTAAAGCACTCTCAAGCAATTCAAGATTTTAATAAATCTCTCACATTCACTACCTAATTCCTCCTGAAAGACAAAAATAATATTTAAGATAAATAAACTATCAAACAGAGCTTTAGCTAAGAAAGATCATCCAATCTTCACTTGAATGTTTTACAATATTTAATTTCATTTAAAAAGAATCAGCGTTAATCCATTCCATAAGGATCTATATCTCTTTTGTACATGGACTTGGAAAAAATGAACATAGAAAGAATACCTTGCAAACTGTTTTCTGAAGTAGTCTCTAAAGAATCCAGATGTAAATGACTAGTCCCTGCATAATGTATATAGTTGTTATTGCTTCACATTTACTGCAGGTAAAATCAATCAACAAGTGTGTGCTAAATATTCCAGGATATTCCATCACAAATAATTCTTACACATACATTTCTTAAATACTGCTTAATCCACAAAAGTGCCTGTTCATTCACTGAATATAAAATTCAAATGAGAGTAATTTGAATCCACCATTCCCTTAAACATATGCATAGCCAATATTATAAGAAAATTTTATAATGCTAGAATCCTTATTGTGCTTTGCTAAACAGATAAAATTAATTTAATGCATTTCAAATGTTCTATCTTAAAGCTGATTACCATAAATCAGCTCAAGGAATTTGACAATTTGTAATCTGTACTGTTGAGCACAAATATAAACCATAAAAATGTAGATATGGGGTGAAAATATTTCACTACCACTGGCCAAGGAATTTTTACATTATAAAGGTCGCCACAAATAAACAGAACTGGATTAGCCACATTAGAGTTATTCATCACCAATTCAACACAATTTAATTTCTTTGTAGCATCGTCTGCTATATGTTATTATTATTTTCGTTCATAGTACAGTAAAACATGCAAAAACTGGAACCTGTGTAGGGCAGAAACCTGTCAGAGAAGGCAAACTCAAATATTTGTCACTAAAACAAGCAATAGAAAAGTGGTAAGACTGCACCCTGTCAGAGGCAGAAAACTTGTGAGACTAGGGAAAACAAGGCAGTCCTGTCGAGTTCTGAACTTCATAGGTTTCACTGTATAAGAAAAGTTGAATGTGAAAAAGATTTGAGATTTCTTAACTTTAAATCTAAATCTTTAATTACATTTCCAATTCCAGAACATTTACAAACTAGATAGTAAATATACTTAAAAGGAAAAGGAGCTTTACCTCATTGAACATTTTCTATCACTTTAGGAAATGATTGTTATATATGGATATTTGAGATTTGTTTTCAGCCCTGTCTCCTCTAGGGAACTGCCCCTATCACTTTCGATGTGGTCCTGTTTGAACTATCATTCACAGAATTTCAATATCCACTGTGGTAGACTGCTACTCAGGTGGCCTCCAATGAACCAAGACAATGATGGTATTCACACCTCTGTGTAAGTAGTTTCCTCTTTTTAAATATGGGTTGAGTCCTGTGATCTGCCTTTAATCAACAGAATGTGGCACAAGTGACCTCTGTTTTGGGCTGTTGTTGTTGTTGTTAGGTGTCATTGAGTCGATTCTGACTCATAGCGACCCTATGTACAACAGAACGAAACACACTCGGTCCTGTGCCATCCTCACAATCGTTGCTATGTTTGAGCCCATTGTTGCAGCCACTGTGTCAGTCCATCTTATTGACGGTCTTCCTCTTTTTTGCTGACTCTGTACTTTACCAAGCATGATGTCCTTCTTCAGGGTCTGGTCCCTTCTGATAACATGTCCAAAGTATGTGAAACGAAGTCTCGCCATCCTTACTTCTAATGAGCATTCTGGTTGTACTTCTTCCAAGACAGATTTGTTTGTTCTTCTGGCAGTCCATGGTATATTCAACATATTCCAGGATATTCCATCATAAATAATTCTTACAAAAATTTAAAAATCCCTACAAGGTTTCATTTTTGTGCCCAGGGAGAAGTCAGTTACCATGTACCAAATGTAACTACTCTAATACGACCATGCTGTGAGAAGCCCAATACAGTCATATGGAGAGGTCACATGAAGGAGAACTGAGTCTTCCAGTCAACAACTCCAGCTGATCTTCCGGTCAACAGCCAGTACCAACTTGCCAGCCATTGTGAGTTAAGCCATATTGGAAGTGGATCCTCCAGTCCCAGTTGAGCTGCCTCAAGGTGGACTCACATGGAGCAGATATGGGGTCACCACTGAGCCCTGCCCAAATCAAAGAATCACGAATAAATACCTTAGCTTCCTAGTGCTGCTGTAACAGAAATACCACAAATGGGTGGCTTTAAAGAACAGAAATTTATTTTTTCACAATTCTGGAGGCTTAAAGTCCAAATAAGGGTCTTGGTAGCCCCAGGTTTTTCTTGGTTCCCTGGTGATCCTCACATGGCATCTGTCTTCTCTCATGTGTGCATGCCTCTGTGTCTAATCTGCTTTTTTTCCAACTCAGAAGTGATTAGCTCTAGAACCCACCCTACTCCAGTATGATCAATTAACATAAAAAAGAATAATACTTCCCAAATAGGATTACATCCACAGGTATATGGGTTAGGATTTCAACACATATTTTGGGGGGACACAATTCAATCCATAATAGTAAATAAATGTTTGTGTTTTAAGCCAGTACATTTTGGGGTGTATTTTAATGCAGCAACGATGACCATAGCACACTTTCAGCGTCCTAGATCACAGTAGTGAGAATATCAGAATCCTTTCTTGAAAGAAAGAGGGCAGTTTTGCCACTGAAAACCTGTGAGTCATAGAAATATTGAAGTCTGCGTACAGAAGAAAGCAGAGCAAAGAAACAAAAGCTTTGTGGACTGACTTGGGCTCATGCGTCAGCTGGGACTGAAGCCAATTCCATCCCCTGAAAGTCCCAGGTATGCGAAATGCACCCCCTCCCCTCTTCATTTTTACTTAAGCAAGATTGGGTTAGGTTTCTGTCATTTTCAAATACAAGAATCCTGATTAATTCTGTCCTGTTCCAGCTGGTAGAAAAAGAAATGATGAGACTGTTCAATTGCAATAGATATATGAATTCCTCTTTGAGCAATACACTTTATGAGTTTCCGGAGATAAAAAGTTGCATTAGTTTCCTATTGCTGCTGTAACAAATTATCACAAACTTAGTAGCTTAAAACAACAAAAATTTATTACCTCACAGTTCCAAGAGTCCAACACCCATCTCACTGGACGAAAATCAAGATTTTCCTTTCTAGACATTCTAGGGGGAGAGTCCATTTGCTTGCTTTTTTCAGCTTCCAGAAGCTGCTCAGATTCCTTGGGTTGTGAACTCTTCCTTGATCTTCAAAATCAGCAATGGAGGGTCAAGTCCCTCTCTCTTGCATCATTCTGACTTTCTCTCTTGCTTCCTTCTTCCACTTTTAAGGACACTTGTGATTACACTGGACCCA